CGCCCTCGCTGGTAAGCTTGGTCTTTCAATGAGGGGGTGTGTGTGGAATACTCAGTCCCACACGGGCCCCACAGGGCCCGACAGGTATGGCTAGGGGTCTACTGGGTTTAGGGTCTGTTACTACTGTTAGGCACTAGTGTCGTTTTGGCCCATCTTAGCTCCCGTAAGGTTAGCAGGCCAGGTTAGGTCTGATACCGGTCCAGTTTTAGGACCGGTACCGTTTTGTTACAGGCCCAGCTAGGCCTAGGTTAACTCAGGCCCTGGCGCGATGCTGTTTTAGCGTCAGGCCCTGTGTTTCACATTGAACGCCAGTTCAGTTAGGCGCCAGGCTGTTTTTCATGCCCAGCCTGAGTTTTGGCGCCAGATCTTCAGGACCACTGATTGAGAACGAGATCGGTCGGCCCCGATCAGAGAGGCTGAGTAACTGAGGACGACCCAGCATTATATATAGCTGGGACAAGTCTCAGTTTGGTAGGTAGTTCTGAGGTAGTTTCCAATAGCCTGAGTTTTGGCGCCAGTTCTTCAGGACCGCCGATCAACAACGAGATCGGCCGGCCCTGATCAGAGAGGCTGAGCAACTGAGGCCGACCCAGCGCTATATTTAGCTGGGATCTTATACACATCTAGATGTGTATAAGAGACACGAGATCGGCCGGCCCTGATCAGAGAGGCTGAGCAACTGAGGCCGACCCAGCGCTATATTTAGCTGGGACAAGTCTCAGTTTGGTAGGTAGTTCTGAGGTAGTTTCCTGTAGTCGAGTAGGGAGATGCTGTAGTCTTCACAGCGCTGGGCGCTGTGTTAGGATGCGGCATTGAGCTTGAGCTGCAGCATGCTGCAGCAGGAGTGGGGATGGGTGGATGCCAGGGGACTTACCTGTCGACGTACCTGTGATACCATAGCTCCAGCTTCCTCTTCAGCACGTCCGTACCTGCATCAAGGCGACACCTTGCAGCAGGCTAGTACCTGGTACATCAGAGAGAGAGAGAGAGAGGATCATCTCGTTCTTCTTCCTCCTTCGGTCCATCATCACTCCTCTTCTGGTTACGAGAGAGAGAGAGAGAGAGAGAGAGAGAGAGAGAGAGAGAGAGAGAGAGAGAGAGAGAGAGAGAGAGAGGGATTCATGACATTGAGACTTGGTGACATTGGACTCCGACTGGTATCTCTGCAGGGACATTGGGGGAGACTAATTTGGGGATTCCATATCAATGACATTTGGGTTGACGACGTTCTCCATCTTCCTCCCCTTCGTCTCTTCCCCCTCCTCATCATCCTGGCACTCTTTGCCTCTGTGTGCAGCGACAGGATCTGGTCTCCAGTCTGTGTCGCTGTATTGGTTGTCTGATTGTGGGTATTTCAGCCTTCCGCTGTGCTATCATTGTTCTATCTATGTGAGGTTGGTTCTTGGTTCTGGTCTGTGCCACATTGGCATGCGACAGCCTTGGCCCTACAGGTGTATTTTTATATATATTTGTCTTTTCTTTGAAACGGTATTCCCCTGTTAGCAGTAGCGAATGCAGATCCCAGGGCTCGATCCCTAGTTCTTACCTTACCTGTGTACAGTACCTGTGTCGACCCCGAGAGTTGAACCCGTGACCTGTGTATTCGCAACAGTTGGTAGGCTGTCGTAGGTCTGTAGGTGGTAGGGGTTCGATCTGTAGACCTGTCGAGCAGAGGTCTTAGCAAGTTCTAGGAGTCGTAGCTGTAGCCCTTCTGAAAGGTCAAGTTCGTAGCTGCTACAGTCCTGAGAGGTCAAGGTCGTAGCTGCTACAGTGTTCGAAAGGCCAAGCCCACAGACTTCCGGAAGGTTCGGAAGTGGCCTTTCAAAGTTATCTCACGTTTGGACAGAGGCAAGTGGGCAAGTGGTGAGCCCAACTGCGTTACGTCGGCAGTGCGACTGCATTAAGTTGGCAGTGCAAAACCATGCAGTCGGCGGTACTGATCCCAGTCAGTCAGAGTCCAGTCAAGCAAGTACCGTGTGGGACTGTGTGCACCAAGGGCATGGGAAAGGGGCAGACCAACGAGTCACAGAAGTATAAATCACGAGGCAGCGCCCAGCCATTCATTCATTCCTGCGTAAGCCATGTGGAAGCGCTGCTTGAGCGGCTTGTGCGAGGTGGTCTGCAGAGTGCCCGGAGACGAAGTGGGCTGAAGGAGATAGTTAGCCATAGCCATAGAGGGACAGTGGCCATATCCGCCATAGTCGATAGGCGAGTGTATGAGTATGGCAGTGTGTGTGTGTGTGTGTGCGTGTGGGATATCCAGGGTGATCTGGAGTTGAGTGAGTACAAACAGTGGTGTTGGATAGAGAGACGAGAGTTGGAGTTTACAGGCGCTGATGCGCCATAGCCTGTTGAAGCGAGCTTGTATCTGAACTATGTTTTCGACTTCCATATCTCTGAGCTTTGAGTGGGCGCTGTGCGCCAGTGTGTCTCACCATCTGTTTGCATGAGTGCGGAGTGGGTAAGGAAGCGAGTCTGATTGCATCTTCGTTTTTGTGTACATTTGGGTCTTATTCTGTGCTCACTGCCTTTGGATGTATGACCCTTCCCGTATCCATGTCCATCTGACTCCTTTGGGATTCACACTCATGACCTGTTTGTTGAGACTCACATGCTTGTTTACCCTTCTTGTCGTACATAGTTAGCAGACAAATAAGGAGCATTGCTCTCCCTTGCTTCAGCTGTGCGATCTGGTTTTGATTCGATGGCTGGGGAAGGATGTTGGACCGGAATTCTGCATAGAGAGTATAGAATGAGCGGCTGGGGTATTGAAGGGCCCACATGACATCCTCCACCTTGGCAAGGCCCTCGTGGGTTCGTCAGAGTTGCTCCGTCCAAGAGATCACAGGAAACTTTCGATATTGTAATCTCACAAAGCTTCCACTGTACTTGTCGGTCCTTCGGTTTCATTGATATTTGACCAAATTTAGTGCCATTTCGTGGTCAGATACAGCCATTAAATTTCTAGCTTATCGTGCTGAGTGTAACTCCTGGGTCTGAGTTTGGAAGTTGAGGGCCCCTTCCAGTTGAAAATGCTAATAGCGCTAGCTCCCCTTTCTAATCTGACTCCCTTCAGACATAGTCGAATATAACCGGGTGTTGTATTCGAATGTGACGCTGCTTGTTTTGTGTTTGAGAGCAAGGGCCGCAGAATAACATTATGTGTTTGAGAGAGAGGGGTGTGACAGCTCTCTGTAAAAGTTGAAAAAACGAAACAAAGAACGACTTGCGAATGTGGACTTCTTTCCGTGCAAGAATATGTGTCGCATGCTATGAACAACCGACAGGCATGGTGCAGAGACCAAGAACCGACTGAAGGAGAAAGAGCAATCCCAATGCAGTGGAAGACTGAAAGACGCTGATCTGACTCATCATGAGTCGTGACTCAGGACAGACTCACACATCCATCATCACTGGCATGACGGCTATCTTTCTTATGGAGCCACCATGCCTACAATGCATCCACAGACGAAGAAGGTTGAGGAAGAGACGAGCTGGGGAGACATCAACTCAATAGCCCTGCGAATGAATACTCTCCAACAATAATCCCCAAAGTCTCTGTTGGAATGTAATGTCGGAGTCTGGGCAATCGCTCGAAGTCACCAATTCTTTCTCTCTCTCTCTCTCTCTCTCTCTCTCTCTCTCTCTCTCACACACACACACACACACACACACACACACACATGGAAGAAGAACAGTAGATGGAGGAGAGGAAGAAGAAGAAACCGAGGTGGAGGAGATGACCAGGGGAAGAAAATTCTCTCTCCCTCTCTCTCTCGGAGCCAGATACTGACCAGCGTAAAGGTGTCGCCTTTGAAAGGCAGGTGGAGTTACCTGAAGACGATCCTCCAGCGATGGTGCCCTAGGTGACTCAGCAGGTAAGCGTTCACACTCTTGGCCTTCACCCCGAACTTCCTAGCTCCACTACTGCTAGCCTAACTCCTTTACGATTCAGTACTGCGCCAGGAGTATAGTGACTCAACTCCCAAATGCTGCATGCCTAGAATGAGGGCAGCCCAGCTATACATTACCCTGGGCCTACTGGATACTGATCCGGTCTGCATCCTGGGCCGTCCGTTCGTTATGCCGATGGACGGCCCTGGGTGCAGGCCCAAATCCCGGTCCTGAATCCTGGCCTCAAAACGGCCTGCCAGGGTCCCAATCAGACGTCCAATCTCCTCTGCTGAACCAGCAGAGGTGTCCTCACAAGAGGATGAAACGGGGGCTGGAGCCAAAACGTGGTTCAGCCCGTGCATCAGGCCTGAGAATCAGCCGCTAGACCTGAAAACGACCCCCTGGTCCAGAGGACTAGCGGTCTGGAGAAAAATGCTGAAATGACATGTCCAGACCGGACAAACCTGGAACAGAAACTGGAGTGAGAACAGACAAACGACTGAGAAGAACAACAAAAAGGAACTCCGGTAAAATGCAGACGAGCCCAAAATTTGACAGGAGAGCACCAAACTCACAACTCACGGCCCCTACACCACTGTCAGGTCCTGAAGGGGCCCGCGTGGCAGCCATGCATACCACAATATGTCAACATTTTGCAAAGTCTACGAAAAGATCATATCTCGCCTAAATCATCCTGCACAAGCAGAGTGTGTGTGTGTGTGTGCTCCCCAACTGTGTATGTATGGCAGGAGAGAGAGAGAGAGAGAGAGAGAGAGAGAGAGAGAGAGNAGAGAGAGAGAGAGAGAGAGAGAGAGAGAGAGAGAGAGAGAGAGAGAGAGAGAGAGAGAGAGAGAGAGAGAGAGAGAGAGAGAGCACGCCCCCTACCCCAATGTCAGGCCATGAAGGGGCCCGTGTGGGAGCTGCGCATACCACAATATGTCAACATTTTGCAAAATCTACGAAATATCATATCTCGCCAGGGTGGCATACCCGCTGACCGCCTACTGCAAGGAACATGAATATGGACGAAGCACAGAAATCCAGATTGCAAAATCACACTGAAGTCCAAGTAGTCAAAGCAAGAGCAGATAGCACAATGGAACCGAGTAACCATCCATTTGAGAATGATACAGAAGAATCGTGAGTCAATGTCCCAGCCCAACAGGGCAACACCGACAGCATAACTCATTGTAGCTCTCTCTCTTGAATGGCGCCAGGCGCCCTACCTACTCTACAGCCTAACACTACAACTACAGTATGAAAGCAACCAGACAACTTGACTACCAGCGAGTGATGATGTCAACACCAATGCCGACCTCCCTCCTCCACCAGGTACGTCTCCTTCTTCACCCACACTCTCCCTTGTTATCCCACACAGCGCCCTTCACCTCCGAAGAACCACCTTCGCCCTCACCTCCCCTGCGCCCTCAGGCAGCCCGGCTATGGCCGCCAGCGCCCTGTGCACAGGCAGCGCCCTACCGCCTAGCACCTGCCTGTCTGGCACCTCATCTTAGCGCAGCGCAGCAGCTCTCATTTGCGCAGCGTGCCGGCATTGCCCGCAATGGCCAAGATCCCTGCCCACTCGCCCTGCTTGCCTATATGCCAGTGTTGCGTGTGGGTGGCCTCCCTTCAGCCTGCGTCTGGGCCTCAGTGCCTGAACCCAGGCCCGATGCAGTTGAGGCCCAGGATGCAGTTGCGCCTCTTTCGTCAAGGCCTGCGGCCAGATTCAGATAGTGGGCCGATTTCCCATTGGCATTTTCGGCCTCTATACCCGGCATGCATTGTCGGCCTCTCGTTCAAGTGCCCAGGGCCTAACCAACTCAAGGGCCCTGGGATTTCCGCATTTTGCAGAGATCCGAGACTCGGTGCACTCCAACCAACTGGCGTGCTGCAACTGTATGGACCCCACTTTGTGAAATGTTTGCACAGAGGGCTCTTGTTGATTTGTTGGCCCGCCTTCACTTAGGGCGGGCACGAGGCTTGCTGGGGCCTTAGCCCAGAACATGTACATCATGGCAAGGCCCCTTCTTGAGGGCTCAATCCTCACACTACCCTGACCGCTGATCGTTTTGCAGCCTACCGGTAGGGCCGACTGGTCGGCGGTCTGCCAACCAGTCAGTAAGCAACCATCCACTGATTTTTTTTTCAATCTGGCTATGGGGCTGTACTGCGCTTGCTGAATACAGCTCAAATCTGCTGAGAAAGGTTTTTGGGGGG